GTTTAGGGTTTAGGGACTCGGGTTTAGGGTTTAGGGACTCGGGTTTAGGGTTTAGGGTTTGGGGCTCGGGGTTAGGGTTTAGGGTTTAGGGACTCAGATTTAGGGTTTAGGGTTTAGGGTTGACTCAGCTGCGGATTTTAGGCACTAGGGATATTTATGATGTAGCTAGAGTTCTACCATAGGGTCCTCAGTGCGCCTGGTCTTTGGAGCATTATACCTACAAGCATGTCTAAACGGGCTCCTAGGCAGATCCACTCAAGGCTTCACTACGGCGCCTAATATAAGGACCTTGATAATTAGAATAGGGTTGTGGGGGGTATATTATACTATAATTATATGATAAGGAACCCCCAAAACCCTATTCTAATTCTTAAGGCCCCTGCGTTACAGAAGTCAAGGTCGAGGATCCTTATGAGTTCGGGATGGTAGGGGGTAGGCTAGGCCAGAGAGAGTGGCTTCAGATCGAAAGAGTGCCGATGCATAATGTAGGGGCCTTACAAATTAGAGTAGGGTTTTGGGGCCCATTATACTACAATTATAACAAGGAACCCCCAGAATAGAATAGGTAAATTATTTAGGCCCCTATATTAGTTCTGCTTCGTTTCGCTTCGTATCAACAGGTTCTGCACCCTGCTTCTGTGGTTGTTGGCTGTTGCTGCCAGATCTGAAGCTGCTGTTCTTAGTGTCGTTCTTTTTGTGTGCACAGCACAACCTGGTTACCCAAAGGGTCTAAGTACTTATATGGTAGGTACTTTGGGGCCCAAAATACCTACTATATAAGTACTTAGACCCTTTGGGTTAGCTTTGGCTCTCCACTGGATGCATGCCGCCTCAAAACTACGCAAGTGGCTTTTCGCAAAAAGGACACTGTAGCGCACGATGGCTCATAGCCCAGGAGGAGGAATAAGGCAACCGTATGATTCACATGGGGGTTCTGTGAAATCTGCGAATCTCAGCAACCCAACCTGCAACAACAACCTGCCAATAAACGCACATGGAGAATCGCAGTCTTGTACGGCTGAGATTCGACGTTCGAAATACGACGGTCACTACGATATTGGTCGAGCCCGGAGCCCAACATCGCGAATCGCCCGAAACCCTAAACCCTAAACCCCAAACCTAAAGCCTCCAGTTGCTGAGAAGCACACCGCAACAGACGGAGCGCAGCAGCC